TTGACTTAAAAGATTTGAATTGACGTGGCTTTTGTTTAAAAGGCTGGATTTGAATATGTGGGTCATGTCTCTGCTGTTCTTATTTAGAGTTTTAGTTTGGATCTCTTTCCTCAGAGAGCTCTGTGGCTCCCTGTTTCTCTGGTTGTGTATGGATATGATACATTGTGGAAAATCTTGGGGTTTCTTGACACAAGACTTTATACATCCAAGGCTGAATCATCAAGCTGGAGTGTTCTAGTGCTGCAGATGGCATGCATTTAATTTTATGCCTTATTCCTATCCCCTTGCAAAAAACAGAAATGAAAAATAAAATATATAAAATGAAAACTACACCCACGCACTCACTCTGGCCCCGCTGCATGCCGCCACCTCTCTTCTGAACGGAGCCCAAACTGGGATTCAGCAATAAGGCGAATGATATGAGAACATGCCATGACCTTTCGTCCAGGAGTTTGAAAAAAAAAAAAGCCCTGACTATGTCGTATTCATTTTTGGAATATTTGGTGAACAATACACAACGAAGAATTTTTTTGTCCCCTGTTGATTCTTACTAGTTTTTCCCACAGTTGTGGGGAAAATTCTCTTCTTTCCTTAACCCATTCTGGTTTTGTGAAGGCTCCTTAAGTCTTCATTCAGTTATATCTAAAGCAATGCTAGCTTCACCATCAAAACCCACTTCCTTCCCGTGGAGACCTGGTGATCACGGTGTATAGACTCTGATGTCACCAGGGATGCTGAATGACACTGTAATTAAGATGCTCTTATTTTATACTTTTACTTTGCCCATGTTTGTTTTTGTTAACAAATTGTCGTGATCAGATTTTGAGATAAGTGGATCTATGCTACTTAAAAGCAGATAGATGTCTCTTCAAAACATCAAGTAATAAAGTAAACCTTAACGCTCACTTTTTATTTGTTTTTACTTCTGTGTGGGCAGAAAGATGTTATGTGTGTTGGTAACTTGATCATGTTTGGAAGATAAAACTTGTTTGGTTAGGGCCTTTTCTTGCCTTGGCTGTGGGTACCTATCTGTTACCTTGGTAAATAATGATGATGATAGTCATTAGTGGAATTAATAGTTATTTTATATGGAACCATAAGGAAAAAATGGAATCTCTTTGCAGGTTCAGTGCTATTTGTTTACTCCCTTAATATGAACTTGGGCCAGATTTTCTGAATGCAGTGCAATTTCTACTTTGAAAAAAATCACACTGAACTTTCTAGAACTTCAAAAATACTTTACTGGCAGGAGTAGGAAATCTGTGTGTGGCATGCAATGT